TTTTTCTGTCTGACAATGAAGCAATAATTTTAATTCATATATCAGACAAATAGATAAACACATTTTATACAAACAAAGGGAATGATTCCTTATCCGCACTAACTTTGACAATAAAATATTCTACTTCATATCTTCTTCACAACATGCCTGAAATTTTTCTTTCTTTGCATCGGCATCGTCCTCTCGTCCCCTAGGACGAAAAAATATAGCAGGCACAGAAAGCATTGAAACGACTGTAAGCACTTCATCACTGCAACCCATTCCTTCCGACACAATCAACATTTTGGAAAGAGTTGGATCCAGCGGAAACTCTACCATTTTTCTACCCAAATCAGTGAGTCCACCTAAAAAAATGAAAAAAATACTATAGTACTTGAGTGTAAAAAATTACCAATAATCTTTACTACTTTCAAATGCTTGCAAAAAGAAAAATGAAATCATCAGAAATGTACTGGATCATTTCATGCTGCTACACTAACGACATATCTATTATTACAATATATTAATAGAATTATCATTGCTATCTCACAAAACACTGCCTTTGGACAATCCAGAATTACCAATAATGTCATTATTTTCAGTAATAAAAAATACAAGAATGAGCAGGCAAGAGAAATCTTTAAAAAACTAATCTATATTGTCCAGAGCACCTAGCGTCCACAGCTGGTACATGCTATTCAACATATTATCTTGAGGAGGTGCATCCATAAAATGAAATTTTAGCAGATCATCGACTCCCAGAGATTTCAGCAATAAAACTACATTTGCAAGATTTGTTCTTTGGATTTCTGGTACAGTAGCTACCAACATTTCTTCCTAAGATAAAACAATAGAAAAAATAAAGTGATAATCAAAAAATCTTTTAATAGATCTTCTTAAATCACCGTTTGGAAAAATTTGAACTTCTAAGGGAATTATTTCCTTTTTTATTTCTTATTAGTGTTCCTTCACTAATCTACATTTTTGTAAGGATATTACATTTCTGTCGGCAACAGCAAAATTCAACATTACCTTAAACTGCCTCTCAGTATAAAGTCTAAAACACTGCCCCGGACCGGTACGACCAGCCCGACCAGACCTTTGATTAGCTGAGGCTTGCGATATTGGAAAAACCTGAAAAAAACTACCTGGAATCATTTTGCTTCTTAGCATCCAGTATAAAACAAATCTATTCGATGCTTGAACAAGTAATTATAAACTACATATTTGCATTTTAACACCTAATTCTATTAAAGTCAAATTGTTTTTCAAAAATTACCTGAAGCGCATCCATACCAATGCGAGGATTGAAAACCTTCAACTTGCAGTAGCCAGGATCAATAACAAAGAGTATGCCATCTACGGTCAATGATGTTTCAGCGATATTTGTTGCCACAATGCATTTGCGGATGCCACCTGGAGCCTTCTGGAATATTTTTGCTTGCAAATCACTTGGAAGTTGCGAATAAATTGGCAGTACAGCAAGCGGTGGAGCTTCATCCAATTCTTCCAGTTGATTCTTGATCATCCCACAAGTAACCTAGAATTTTACATGCAGAATGCAAAAATTAATCAGTGAAGAGGTAATATAAGAAAAAAAAAATTTATTTCTTCCTCAAACAACTTCACTTAATTCTGCATTAGTTATGCAATGGGTCAAAATCTTGAATTTTAAGCTCGAGCGCTTCAGTTTGTCATCTACTGATACAAACCTCAATATCTTCTTGTCCAGGCATGAATATCAATATATCTCCGTCTGTACCACCCAGATGGACCCTTACAGCTTGTTTCACTGCTGCATCAACGTAATCCTCCATGAGTGTTCGAGCGTGAAATATTTCCACCGGAAACGTACGACCTTTAACAAAAGAACTTGAAAGTTATCAATACTAATAAATATACATAAAAGAGAGGAAATCTGCGACAGTCTGTACATGAGCTATGAATAATTCTAAATACAGCCTTACTTACAACAGAAAAATAAAACAGATCTCAAATGAGCTATTAAAACTGAAACGCCAATTAAACAGTGTAACCATTATTTATTTGTTCAATATGATAGATTATTTTAAATGTTATTACAACCAACCAGGAATAGTGAAGCATGGAGTATGACCGCCGAAGAAATTAGCAAACTTTTCTGCATCCATAGTGGCGGAAGTAACTATAAGTTTGAGATCTGCTCGATGGGCAATCACATCTCGCAAAAGGCCGAATAACACATCGGTATTCAGTGACCTTAATATTATGTAGAAACAAGAATTGTACACTATATATAAGAAATTGCAACCGCAACAACTAATAGATAATTATCTTAATTACAAAATTCGAAGAAATACTTATTGCTAATATATAATTTTTGCGACTTTTTCAAAATTGAAGAACTTTGCTGCATCATAACAGTTGCTAACTTTTTGATCTATAAAAAACTTCCCCAAACAGTCTAAAAAGCAAACCTTTCATGAGCTTCGTCCATGATGATGGCAGAATACTGGTCTAAATCTGGATCACTCAAACATTCTCGGAGCAGAATACCATCAGTCATATACTTGATTCGCGTATTCTCCGAAGTACAATCTTCGAATCGAATAGCGTAACCACATTCTTGGCCCAATTCAACGCCCATCTCTTCAGCAACCCGTTTTGCCACTGACATTGCTGCTACTCGGCGTGGTTGTGTGCAACCAATGAGACCAAAATTGCCTGTAATACATATCTGCCCCTTTACCTGTAAAGTAAATATAGAAAACGGCTAATTTAATTACATGACTCCGAACGCTAATAAAAATAAATATAACAGTCAATAAACAAACCATAGCCATCTTCGAGTAAATATTGAGCCAATTGTGTTGTTTTGCCGCTACCTGTTTCACCAACAATAATCACAACACTATTATCTGCGATAACACTGAGCATTTTTTGCCTCACTGCAAATACGGGTAAATATTCCCGTTGTTCTTTAATAGATTTTTTCAGCGCAAAATCCGAAACTGCTCCCGACTCGACCAAATGAGATGCAAACTGTTGCGATTCCCTTAAAAAATCCTCTTTAGAGGCTTCAGAGATAAAAATAAAAAGTCGCAAACGGTTTTCAACTGACCCCTTGAGACCGAACGTCATTTCAAAAGATAACAAAAAATTTTAGGACGGAAAATCTTTGTACTTTTTGCTACGTCCGGAAATTTAGCAGAACAGCTTATCGAAAAAGATATTATATGAGAAAAGCTATACACGAATTTTTGATCAATGATTTCTAAAAACGGTACAAGATCACCCCATAACTACTTAAATCAAAATTTGACAAAAACTGAAGACTGTGTCTTTCAGCTTTTCAGCCTGTAAATCTATATCACTGAGATCATAACTTTTGCAAAAGAATGGTAAATCGAAAATTGAGTAAGGCATCAAAAAACATTTTGCAAAATCAGTACAAATTTGCAAAAAAAAGTTCATGAAAACCTTGAATCTACCTATAGGATATCCCAGCATCATCGCTGCTTATCTCATCTGGTGCTACTTTAACGCCCATCAAATTCCCCAGTTTAGAACCTGCCAAATCCCAATGCTTTTCCTGTGCTTTTTTCTGCTCTTCTTTTTCACGCCACATTCGGACAACCTATTATAGGATATATTTAGTGGTTTATTTCCAACTTTTTTCCAGAAATACAAAAAATTTTTTTGCAAAATTCGAAAACAAATAAAAACAACAATAAGTCATTTATCTGAAGGTTTGAAAAATTGAAAATTACCTTGCTTCCTTTCGCAGCAACAACAGCAAGATCAGAAGTTATGTCTTTCACCGGAACAACCGGTTTATTTTGCTTTGTAAATATGAAACGTCCATCCAGAAATGGTGGAACGACATTCTGCACCAGCAGTGTTATTCGATTTTCATCCGATTCATCGTCGAGAAAATCGTCATCATCAGTTAGTGATACAACACCTCAAAAATCGTGTATTAAACTATTAGGTTTGATTGAGCATGGACAGAAATTTGCTCATCACTGTAACAGTAATGTATAATGGATACAACAATAAATTTTATACCCCTGGAATACTTAATTCTAACAAGGATGAAAAAGGAATTCTAGATGCAACATAAAACTACAATGTGCAAAATAAATTTCCAAGGGAAAATTGCAAATTAAATTTACAAATAAATTTACAAAAAATTAAAATACATAAAGTGCATTTTAGTGCTAACCTGATCTTGACAGTCGATTATTTTCCCACATTTTATTGTCCTTTTTAATTTGTTGTTGGCGAACTGTAAGACGAGGCTTTTCACGTTTTTGTTGCCATTGTCTCTCTTTCTTTTCTATGTATTCTTGCGAAACCTATATTAAACAATGACTTATTCATTTTTTTTGCAAAAAAGACAGCTTTTTAGAGAATAACGTTGCAATCTCTGCATATCTAATATGCGATTTATCAATACATATTCAAACTTTTATCTGAAAAATTTAATTAAAGAAAAGGACCTGAGAAAATGGATTATTTTCGTCATCATAACCTTGATCATTTCCATACCAATCACGATCCAATTTTTGTTGTTCTCGTTCCCATTCTGCTTTTTCAAAAGCATCATGAAAATCAGGAACTAACTCTCCTTCTTCCTTGACAGAACGAGTCGTATCCTCCCGACTTCTGGAATATACCTTTCATTTTCCATCCGAAATATAGATTAGTTATATTTTTCAAAATATGCTACAATGTCTCTAATGGCATGGAGAAATAATGAGTCCTTCGACGTCAATATTATGCAATGATTCAAACTATTAGCAGGAAACTGAAAAGAAGAGGATAAAGATTAGCACAAATTTTTTTCTGAAATGCTGGAAATTCCTAATTGTACTATCGCACGAGGAACAAGTGTACAATTTTTCTTGCACTATAAGCAAGGAAAAAAAGTAGCCCAAACACAAAAATTCTTACTTACATTATTGCTCTATCTACTACTTCATATAATTCAAAGACAATTATAAAATACATCGGCTAATTACCTTTTTTTACTATGCTTTTGTCGTTCCCGATTACGCTCGCTCTGCCAAATGCTCGAAACACTACGAGCCGAAGATATATCATCATCATGACCAGATGAAGTTGGTGTATCCCAATTTGAATGATATTTTTTTGATATTTGTGCTGAATCATCCTCTTCCCAAGCTGAACGTGACGGAGTATCAGCTGTCTAAAGCAATTATGATATCTGGAGATTTGTGATATACAGCGTTATGTATTTTAAGTTCGTCCACCCTTACTCCTTTTTATTAGCGTAGACCAATGTTCTGTACTGATAACATATCCATGCTTAATTCTATCAACAGTAGATAAAGTTACGTTTAGTTTTACCTTAAAAAGAGGAGTTTCTGCATCTCGATTTCGTGAACTCTGACCTCTGGAGTGCTTCTGCCAGCTTTCTTTGTCATGATGACGGCTTTTTTTCCCACACTCATTTTTTCTCGTATCAGCATATATTCCACGTCTCTCTCCCTTGTATTTCTCGATTACATAGCTGCAAAAAGGTTTCCGATAAGTGGGCAATATCACTTGAGTTTGAGATGTTTCAAATTCAATGCAATTTAAATCCGCTTATCACGAACATTTGCTTCACAATAGCCCCTCAATCTCTGACGCTAGCGGAGCATTCAAGCCGAATAAATCATAAAAAATTACTGAAAAATTTATTTACTTTTTCCCACTATAGTAGAAGGAAACTAAAAACTATAATGTTTCCCTGTCCTCCTAATTTCAAAAAATTGATTCAAACATGGGAAAGTAGCACAACTCACACGGCAATTTGCTTGTGCACGCTCTCTGAAAGGCCACCAGGTGAACCATCCTCAATTCGACGTTTCCGAGAATTTGCCTCAGCTCGCGTACGCGACTTCGCTAGCACATCCAAACCAAGAAGCGACTTTCCGGGATGTTTAAAGAGTTCATCATCACTATCCTTTTTTTTACGGATGAATAAACCACCTTTTGTGTTCGATGTGCCTTCCAAACGGTTTAAACCATCATCGCTCGCCATTTAATTAAGTCTTCAAAATTGACCTTTAACATATAAAACTAGCGTAAAACCATGTGAAAGTTTCCCACATGATCAATAGTTAGTATATTCAATGCTTTAGGACACTAAAATTTGATGATCCCTTTCTTACTGAATCAAGCCTACTGAATCAGTAAAATCCTTATTTAGTGGACCATTTCTCCCGATCACGCAAGACCTCAATAAATAACTCAAGAAACATCAATATGAACCATATCATAGAAACCTTCCAAACTAAACGGATACAACGGAAATAAAAACCAACAACAGCCTCTCGAGTAATTTCTGCGAATTCATTTTTTAAGAAAACATGTCCCACTTCAAGATTTTACTGCTTTATACATTGCAAAGAAGTAAAAAAATAAACTTTCCAAAAAAGGCAACTCGGTATGGAATATGGCTAACAATCTCAGGCTTCATTAGACAGCATTAACACTACCTAATGAAAGGATGACATGTGATACCACTTTATCATTTACGCACTACATAGCTTCAAATTTATTTTCATTATTCGTGAGCAAAAAACAGAAAAAATAAAAATATACAATTAAAATAATTCATTTCAAAAAAAAGGGTTAACAAAAAAAAGTAGCAAAAAAAGGTTATATATAATCATGTACAATCATTAATCACCAAATTTCAACAACATAGGCCTTCCAGACATATTATGTGCTAGTCCGATGTTGGCAAAAAACAATATAGCAAATACAGCATTGATAAAAGCTTTACAACCCAATATTTTCAAAAGATTTTTTGAAAAATAGAAAATAGCTGGATTCTGGCACTAATAGATGGGACGTAAAACGATAAGAATGATGATCTTTACAAAGAACTTAAAATATTCGATAAAGGGATAAGGTTCTTTCCGAATTTGGAATTTGATAAAAAGATGAATGCAATATGATTTGATTCAAAAAACTTATTGACTGCATAAAAAACATATCGTTAATAGAATGAATTCCGAATTAATCGAAGTGATTTATTGGAATTCAAAAAAAAACCTGAATTCAAGAAGTGAGGTTGAAAATTGTTTTTTGGTTTAACAAAAACCTTGTACCTCAAGGCACAAATCAAAGAAAAATAATATGAATAAAGTATTGTGCACTGACTAAGAAATAACGAAGGAGGCGAATAAAACTCAATTTGCAAATAATTTAAATTACATTGTTCAGCACTCTTCATAATGCCCAATTCCGAAAACGCAATATCTATTTTTCGAGAATATCTAAGCTGCAGTGCCCCTACTTTCTTAATTTGAACTATTTCAAACTTAAAGAGGAAAGCAAAGGGAACTATCAATAGATTTTAGAAAATTAATAGTTAAAATTGAAGCTGAAAGACAAAAGGCATTAAAATAATACATGTGGTATTTGCAAAGGTTACATAAATCATTTGACTAAGAGTAACAAGAGATTCATCCTTTCATAAATTTAAAATGCATGGAAACGAGAGACAAAAAAAAGAGAAAAACTTAGCTGAAAATGTTAAGTGCCTGACGATAAAAAATAATAATAATAGTTCGAAAGGATGGACACTGTAATTCTAAAGATTCATGAATATGAAAAAGCATATGGGAGAGAAAAATAAAAAAAGTGAACTGACAGAGTTGTGGAGGATTAACTCATAGTCCTTCGGCTGTTAAATAATAAACAATGTTCAGTATTGTATAGTAAGTTTGAAATTTGAAAGTTTTAGAACAAATAAAACTAAATCATAAATAAGAGGCATTAATATTCTGTACAAAGCCAAAATGACTTAAGGGAGTCAGCATTGAGGGATATCCAACCATATGAGCTTAAGAAAAAAATAGTCTTTAAAAATCTTTTTATTCCAAAGAAAACTAAGCTGCAAAAAGTTAGCCTGTACTTCCGCAAAGCATGGGAAGAAGTCATCCAGTAACAATATTTCAAACTATTCAACTTACAACTCAGTCAGTAATACACTGAAATCCAATTAATTGTCGTTTGTACAATTAAGATGTATAAAACCGTTATGTCGGGAAACACAATGACATCAGACAGAAAAACACTGCATGTCAGAAAAATTCGAATCAGGAATATTATAAGATTATTTATATTGACGTGTCGTCCGACGTGGTAATGTATTGTAAATTGTTTCCGATGCGAGCGATCTTCGACGTCTCGAACTGCGACGCACACCCAATGCTTCGGTTCGATCTTCTCGTTCCTCATTCTATAAGCAAATAAAATTGATATTTATATTCTAACATTAAACTGGAAAAAATAAGCTGTGATTTCATTGTTATAGTAAAACAAAAGATCAAAGATTTCTAAAATATTCAAGTTTTCAGCTTAGTGTACCGTGCACAGTAAAAGTAACAGCCTGCATTAATTAGGATTCGCATAGCATCTTGCCTTTAAATATAATAATGCCTTCTTAGTTTCGGTAACCTTTTGGCATTGATCGAGTTTCCAGTACCAAAATAAACAATAGTGCTGTGTTTAAATAGCAACTGCATTTTACAAAAAAACAAAAAACTGATGTCGATAAATCATTTAAAAAATATAAAATCTTATATTTCATCTTTATTGATTGTTTCAGTTATAAACTTGCACTAGGAAAGTTTTGATGTGATTGCCAGCGTTTGGAAAACTGAACTTACTGAAGTAATCTCTTCTTCCAAAACATCTACAGTATCACTGCCATCTGGTTCGTGTTCATCATCTTCCTGGATTTCCGTCACACGGATCAGTTTTGACGATGATGACTCCCTTGAATTTGAACTTTGTGAATAAAACAAAATATTATGTTAATATATCAAAGATATAACTTATAAATGTACAGCTGCATGATGAATCACGATCTTTCAAATACATTCAAGGACCTGTACCTGTTATTAACATCGCTGGCGCTATAGGAGCGCTGCAGCTGTTGTACAAGCTGTGCTTGTCCTCGCAGTGCGGCAGTTGCAATAATTTCACGAGCACACAATATTCCTCTGCTACCTAATCGCATTACCTTAAAACAATCACCTAAATATTCCAAATTCTAAAAACCAAATCAATAAAAAATCGTACAAATCAAGGATGTCTCGTTCTTCAATCTAGCAGGATAACTTTGATAAAGCGATCTAGAGCAATAAAAGAGAACATATGTATACATATTTTTTAAAATAACACTGATGAAATGCCAAATTTATTGGCCTAAATAATCTTGCACATTTTTTTTCTTGGCCGTGACTGAAAATTTTCAGCACAAATCTCATTTATAAAAGAAATGAGTCCTGATGTGTAACATTTAAAATTTGAAGTTTCTTAATTTTTAACACTACAACTCTTATTTCAGGTATTATAAGCAGAAAATCAACTACCAACTACTTTCAATTCCGTACTATGTTGCAATAAGAATAGAGAAATAAATTCCAGCAATTCATTAATTAACTATAACAGAATTAACCTGATTATAACTTTCTGACTTAGCATGCTCGAGCAACAAATCAATATCTCTTTCGTGTTTCGTTAATGTCGGATGTACCCACTGTAACAAGATATTGAAAAAATGGAACACTTACAAATATGTTTATATTTGCTTGCTTAAGATTAGTGCCACTTAATATTTGCTTATCCTAATTAATATTTCGTTAGATGTCGATTATAAAAAATACAAAAGAAAAAAGGTTTAAATATAACAAATATAAGTCGACACATATTAAAATGTGAAATTAACCCTACAACACTTCTACTAACAACCAACTAGTCCAAGCAAAATATTGAGACAGACTCGTGATACACTAACTAAAATTGGATTTATTCACAAAAAAAGTCACCTTCCTATACAAGATTGAAGCGCCCTTAGTCCATGGACTCAACAACCATAAGACGAAAACAATTTTTAATTCGTAATAAAACGGTAGCCAAAATGAGACAACCACATCAGCAATTGTTTCTAGGAAGCAGAAGAAAGCGAAAACAATCCAATACATCATCCATTTAACGTACTCTCTTACATCCTAAAAGTTTTTCACGAAAGTAAAAAAACTGGTCTACCTATACCATAAATTTGATAAAAGCTAAAAATTGAAGAAAATCCTGAAAATTTAATTAGTTAACTTGCAGAAGTCCTCTTTCCTTTCAAGATGGCTCCCCTGTTCTGTGTTGTAAAAGAACAAGAGAATTATACCACAACTTAATGTCGCTTTTCATCAAAATACAATCAACACCACAGATGGTTTTTTGTTCAAATCTACACACGTCACTAAGGCATAAGAATATGGTAAACAAGTATGCAGTCCATGTTTGCCTACATCACGAGATTCAGGAAAGCATGGTTGATCGGTTGACCCCGAGTAGTCAGAACTGTCAATTAGTAAAAAAAGAGAAGATCCGTAGTCATGGACTCTTCTGTTCCAGTAAACTTAGACAAAAGTTGCATTCTTTGTGATAGTTAATAGAAAAAAACCTTTGTTCTGACGGCTTTATAGCTTCGATATGCAGGATAGAGGGTGCCGGCTGTAAGCACAACAATTCGTGAGAGAAACACCGAAACCATCCTACTCTCTTCCTGAAATTGATTTCCATATGAACCGGGTCTGTCGATATGTAAAAGACGAAAAGTACGTTTTCGTGAGATTTCATTGCTACACAATGCAGTCTAATATACAAAACAAATGTGCAAATTATCAAACACACATGACCTCTGATCTCCTCCCTCCCTCCGCCACTCAAAAGCCTCCCAGCCGCACAGCAAAAGAGTTACTAACGTTCCGCACACCAAACTGTGCAACGCCCGCCCTCTGGACCCGCCCACTCTCCGTTGAGCTTTAATTTCTATAAAGTTCGCCCAATTCGGATATTCGATGGAAAGTTAGTACTGATAGGTTGTCAAGTATGATCGTGAAATTGTGTAGGAGTGATCTGATCTGCCATCTGAAAGTACCACTAAATATCAGTATCTACCTCCCAATGACTGAGACAGTCGAGAGGGAGAGAGTGGAATGATTAATTTTAAATGATAATACATTG